CGAGGACGAGAGCGAGGGCGACACGGAGGCGTGGGGCCGGCCGAGGAGCCCGCGGTCCGAGGCCCAGTGGTGGTCGAAGTAGCCGGCGTCCCCGATCTCCGACTTGACCTTGCGGATGATGCTCTGCACGAAGGCGGCGGGGGACAGGACCGTGAGGGGCGTCTGCGTGGCGCTGCAGCTGGTGCCCCCGCCGCCAGCGCCGTCCTCCTGCTTCACGAAGGCCGGGGGCCCGTTCTGGCCCACGGCGGCCAGCGACGGCCGCTCTGGGGGCGAGGGCGGCACCGAGCGGCCCCGGGGGCCCGCCTCCATCTCCAGCAGGGCCTGCTGCTGCGCCTGCATCTCGCGGCGTGCTTGCTCCAGAATGTTCTTGATGGCATCTTCCGAGGCGCTGGCGGGGGCTGTGCTGTTGGTGATGCTCAATGGGGCCGTCGAGTTCTTGGGCTCACCTAAGAGGAGGATGACAGGTGGCAGGAGGCCCATCATCAGGGCATGGCTCAAAGGGCAAAGATGTTCACGGCACGGCATTATACCAGCAAAATGTGGGAGGCAACCTCTGTGTCCAACAATTGGGGATTAGTTAAGTAAATCATGGTCCATCTGTACGGGAGAATATTAGGTAGCTGTCAAAAATCAGGTGGACGGTGAGATTGTAGCATATGTGGTAAAAGTGCTCATGGGGATAAGGCAACATTTATTCTAACAGTAAAATAATGGCACAAAGCCAAATGCCCACAGAGAAGAGAATGGATACGAAATAGTGGCATGGTCACACAGTGGAATACCATACAGTGACGGCTGCACAACACTGTGAATGGACTAAATGCCACTGAGTTGTTCACTTTATTTATTTATTTTTTTAATTTTTATTTATTTATTTTTTCCCCCAAAGCCCCCAGTAGATAGTTGTATGTCATAGCTGCACAGCCTTCTAGTTGTTGTATGTGGGATGCAGCCTCAGCATGGCCGGAGAAGCGGTGCGTCGGTGCACGCCCGGGATCCGAACCTGGGCCGCCAGCAGCAGAGTGCACGCACTTAACCACTAAGCCATGGGGCCGGCCCAGTTCACTTTAAAATAGTTAATTTTATGTTACGTGAATTTGCCTCAATTTATTTATTTATTTATTTTTTTTGTGTGAGGAAGATCAGCCCTGAGCTAACATCCATGCTAATCCTCCTCTTTTTGCTGACGAAGAGCGGCTCTGAGCTAACATCTATTGCCAATCCTCCTCCTTTTTTTTCCCCAAAGCCCCAGTAGATAGTTGTATGTCATAGCTGCACATCCTTCTAGTTGCTGTATGTGGGACGTAGCCTCAGCATGGCCGGAGAAGCGGTGCGTCGGTGCGCGCCCGGGATCTGAACCCGGCCCGCCAGTAGCGGAGTGCACACTTAACGGCCAAGCTACAGGGCCGGCCCCAGAATTTGCCTCAATTTAAAAAAAAGTAATACGTGCCTATTGTGCAGAGCTAAGAAAGCACAAAAAGTTAAGATGAAAATAAAGATTCCCTCTAACCGTTCTCCCAGAGGCAACCACACGAAATAGTCTTATGTACTTCCTTCTGGGCTGTTGTGCAACCCCCTGCATGGACAATTATACCCGATATGTGGGAGTGTAGCCTGGTTTGTCCCCACTTAGTATCAACAGGAGTATTTTTCCCTGTGATTAAAAGTTCTTCTATCTTTAACGGATGCATATGCCACTGAAGGGATATTCTCTGCTCTACTTACCCACTCCCCCACTGCTGGACACTTAGGTTGTTTCTAGTTAGTCCCTGTTGTGAACAACCATAAAGGAAAAGCTTGTATATAAATCTTTGTCCCCATTCTGGACATTTCCTTCGATTCCCAGAAGTAGAATTCCCGAGTTATCAGTCAGCCATGTTCATTTCCTCCCCAGGGGACTGCTAGTTGCTCTATGCTTAGCACTCACTCTTGTCAGGGGGGTAGGGTGATAACCTTGGCACTTTTCCTCTTGCTGAACTCTTCACAGACCCTGAATGGAAACCCCCTGGCTGGGCCACTGGTGTCAATGTTTCCTCTGCTGTGATGCTGCCTTTCAAATTTCCCCGCTGCCTTGTTTCTGACCCCTCGGTGGGAGGGCACTGTACAGGGAGTCAGGAGACCTGAGTTCTCCTTTGGTCTCTGTAACTGTGAGCACATCACCCCCTCTCTGGCCTCAGTTGCCTGTCTGTTTAGTGGGAGAGTTAGAGTAGATTGTTTCTCATGGTTACTTTCACTCCAATGTCGTGTCTCATCCAAATCTATAACCTGTGTCTAGCACACAGTAGGTGCTTAATAAACGTTTACTGAATGATTGCCTCTCTCTGGCTATAGGAGCTTACCAAGAAGAAAGAAATGGATGTGCACACAGCAGGGCCTCAGCGGATTATAGGGGTGGGGCAGTGCAGGCTCCTGGCCAGGTAAGCCTCCCCCGCCTCCCCCCCCCCCCAAGGAGGGAGGGCCCTTGGGAAATTCGGCTCCAGCTGCAGCGGCTTGGGAATCGGGACACTTGCTCGGAGTCGCCACCAGGGGGCAGCAGACACTGCAAAAATGGAGTGGGAGCACTGAAGCCAGAATCCGGTTCTAAGTCAGCAATGGTCTACACCGTGTTGCACTACACCTGGGTGCAGGGATGTGACTCGGTCCCTGGCTGCAAGAAGCCCCCAGACTGGTGGGAGGGACAGCCACACCAGCAGAGCCATTTGTGACACGAACAAACAACAATAGAGACACGATGATGATAACGTTAACGGTAACGATGGCAACATTTCAGGGGCCCCTTCCACGTGCCAGGCCCCAGGCTGGGCGCTGCCACACCTGATCTCATTCCATCCTCACACGACCTTCAGAAAGGAGTACTAATACTGTGCCTATTTTGAAGATGAAAAAATGGAGGCACAGAGACGCTAAGTGACTTGCCCAAGGTCACATGGCTAATAAACAGCAGAGCCAAAATTTGCAGCCAGGCCAGTCTGGCTCCACTGCACCAAGCACTATAGGTAATTATGGGGGATCCAAGGAGGGGCAGTATCCAATCCATCTGGATGGGGGTGGGGGGCTTCCTGGAGGAGGTGACTTCTGAGTTGAGTGGTAAAGGATGAGCAGGAGTTGGCCAGGTGAAAGGTGTCGGGGTAAGGATGGCATTAGGGGCACAGGGAACAGCATGAGGATGGGCATGGCTGTAAACAGTTCATGTGAGAGGCGTGGAGGGGTTGGGAGGAGTCTGAAGATTACAGGGCTGCAGGCCTTGTTGAGGAGCTGGGATTTTGTCCTGAAGGCAATGGGGAGCCACGGAAGGATTCTGAGGAGTGACATGACCCTGTGGGTGCTCTAGAAAGATCCCTCCAGCCTCTGGGTGGAGAATGGGCTGGAGCGGGTCCTGGAATGTCACGGGAAGAGCAGGGAAAAGGCTACTGCAAGGGTCCCAGCGAGGGACGATGGTGGCTCCCTAGGCTGGTGGCAGTTGGGTGGGAGTGGACAAGCTTAAAAAAAGCACTTCGAGGGTGACTGACCCCTGGATGGGGGGACTGACCGGCTGTCGGAGGGGAGGGGTCAAGGACACTCCCTCACCCCACCCTGGGTTCTAGCACCATCTGTGACAGGTTCCTGGGCCCTGAGTGAGGGGCAGGGGGAGACCGTGAGATCCTCTCAGACACGCTGACTTTGAGGTGCCAGCGGGGACCCTGGTGGACATGCCCAGTGGCCGTTGGCTTGTGGCTCCGGAACTCTGGAGAGGGGTCTGGCCTGGAGGGGGAGCGACGCGGGCCTTGCTGGTTGTTGAAACTTCCAGGAGTGGGTTAACTCACCCAGGAAGAGCAGGAAAGTCAGAGGGCCTGGGGGGAGCCCGGGGGGGCCCGCATTCGAGGGGCTGATGAAGAAAGTGCTGTGGTAAGCTGAATAATGGGCCCCAAGGCGTCCACGTCCCAGCCCTGGGACCTGTGACTATGTCACCTGGCGTGGCACAAGGGACTCTGCAGGTGTGACTAGACGTGAGGGTCTTGAGCTGGGGAGATGATCCTGGATTATCTGGGTGGGCCGCGTCATCACAAGGGTCCTTATAAGAGGGAGGCAGGAGGTCAGAGAGAAAGACAGAAGATGCCATGATGCGGGCCTTGAAGATGGAGGAAGGGGCCACGGGGCAAGGAGTGCGGGTGCCTCTGGGAGCTGAAAGGGGCACGGAGACGGATTCTCCCCTAGAGCTTCCAGAAAGAACACAGCCCTGCTGACACCTCGACTATTCTGGACTCCTGACCTCCAGAACTGTACGAGAACGAATTTGTGTGGCTTTTAGCCACTGAGTTTGTGGCTGAACGGCAGCACTAGGGACTAACATGGCGCCCACCGGGAAAGTGCAGAGGGCCCGGTCTGAGAGGCGGGAGGGAGCCAGGAGAACAGCGTCTCCTGGGAACTAGAAGCTGGAGGTTCAAGGAGGAGGGAGGCCCGACGGTCAGGGGGAGAGGCTCAGGCCTCTGTGCTTCCGACAAGCTCCTGTGGGGTTCCTGATCCCTGTGCCTCCTGAAAGCTGAGGACAGACAAGCCAGACCAGCGCCGCCAACAGAACCCAGCGCAGAGGGACGTGTCCTGCAGTCACGCTGCCCGACACGGCCGCGCCCGTCACCTGTGCTATGGGGTGGGGCAGCGAGGAAGTGAAGTTGTAATTTCACTTAATTTACTTAAGTGGATACAGCCACACGTGGCTGGTGGCTCCCACACCGGACAACACAAACCTGGTGCTTTCCAGGCCTACACCTCGCCTGGCTGCGGGTTGTGAAAGAGGCGAAGAGGTTCTGACCCTCTTGGACACCCCCCTGGGGTGGACAGAGGGGGACGAGGGGGACGAGGCCCCGCCCGCCACGGTCACACTCACCCCCCTTCTGAGACTCGATCTCCTTCTTGGCCTGTTCCAGGATGCTCTTGATGGCGTCGTCTGAGCCCGTCTCCGGTGTGCGGATTCTCGGGGTGATGCTGCCTGGGGGAGGCAAGGAGGCCTCTGTCGTGGGGACCTGCGTGCTGGGGGTCAGTCCCTGGAGCTGGGCCCCAGGGGCGAAGGGCTGGTCCCCTCCTCCCTCAGAGTGAGGGCCAGACCGTGAGTGTGTGTGCTAGGACCACCGCTTAGCTAGTCTGTGGACCCACAAGTGATTCTGCTTGAAATAACAATAATAACAGAAACAATAATGACGGCAGCCACCACAACAGCTAACAGTTCTCAAGCAGTTACTCCATGCTTTGTACCCATCTGACCCCCCAGGCGGCTGACAGATGGGGAAACCGAGGCACAAGGAAGCTGAAGTGAGCTGCCCGAGGTCACCCAGTAGGTGAATGGCAGAGAGGGGACTCAAACTCAGGCATTTGTGAGGTCACAGCTTGGGCCCTTCACACGGATTACCCTAAAGACCAAGTCTGGCAAGGTTGGCGCTCACCCAGGCCATCCTGCAGATGGGGAAACTGAGGCTGGGAGGTGCTCAGGAGTCCCCGCCAGGGCAGCCCTGGGCCCCAGCCTTCCCCCCTTTATCAGCCTGAGCTGGCCCGAGAGGGCCGGGGGGAGCCACAGGCCCCCGGAAGGAGGGAGCGAGGATGTTTCCTTGTTTTACAGGGGGGAGACTGAGGCACGGAGAGGCGCGGTCGCCTGTCCAGGCGGCGCAGCTGAGGTGGCAGAGCCAGGCTCTGGACCCGGAGCCGTGCCCCCGCCCCGGCCCCGGCCCCGGCCCCGGCCGCGCCCTCACCTCGCTGCCGCACCTGGATGGTCCTGAGAGCCAGCACGTTCTGCTCGTCCGACAGGAACTGCCTCATCTTGAGGAAGGGCTCCTTGCCCTTGACCGTGAGCTTGCGCCACGGCTTGGGCCGGGCCAGGATCTCGCTGACGGAGCCCTGCGACAGCCCCAGCACGTAGTGGCCGAACACGCGCTGCCCGATGTTGTGTTTCAGCAGCTGCTCCTTCACCTGCAGGGCGATCCCCGCCGTGTCCAGCTGCTCCTCCTCCGCCCCCGCCGCGCCCCCGGCCCCCGGCTCGGGGCCCCCGGGCGGCTCAGCGCCGGGCGCGGGGGTGGCCGGGGCCGTGGGGGGCTTGGCGCCGTAGAAGGCCGGGGGGAACACCAGCAGGCCGCCCGCCTCCCCCTTGAAGGCGGCCGGGGGCATCATGTGCTTGGGCAGCAGCGCGTCCCCCGCCAGTCTCTCCCCCGCGGCCAGGCCGGGGAAGGGGGACAGCGAGAAAGTCCGAGGGCCATCGGGGCCCAGGCTGGGGCCCAGCAGGGGCTGCCCGGGGCCGGGGGACAGCGGGTCCTCGGGGCCCGGCGGCGGCGGGAGCTGCGGGGGGGACGGGTAGGACGGCTCCATGCCCAGCGAGTCCTTGAGGGAGTCGTCCTCCGAAGGGTCCTCCTCTAGAACGCGAGACGGACAGACAGACAGACAGAGGAAGAGGGAGAGACAGACAGGAAGACAGAGAAGCAGGCGACGAGGGGGAGAGAGAGAGACAGAGACAGAGACAGTGAGAGACAGAGAGACAGAGCAATAACGAGAGACACAGAGAAAGAGACACGAGGGACAGGCAGACAGGGAAACAGGGAGAGAGAAATAACGTGAGGGAAGGAAAGCGACAGAGGGGAGAGAGAAACAGGGAGACAGAGACAGTGAGAGAGAGACACAGACGTAGAGACAGAATTGGGGGGAGGACGGGGGAGGAGAGGGCAGGGGGTGGGGAGACAGCGCTATGGCGTCCAGCAGCTTGAAGGGCGCCCGCTGGCTGCTTCTGCCAGCACCTCCCCCGCCCCGAATTCCAAATCCCCATCCTTCACGGCCGGCCCACATGCCGGCTCTGGGGAGCCCTCCCTCCTGCCGTCAAGAACAGTAACTGAGCACAGCACCCCCGGAGTCTGGATTAACCCCCACCCCAGCAGGCTGCCCCGCTTTGGGCCCCCCATCTTGTCGTACGTGTTTGCGCTTCCCATGAGCACAGCATCTGGGAAGCAGGCCCCATTACTGCCCCCATTTTACGGATGAGCAAACAGAGGCGGCAGAGAGTCTTGGCGGGGGCCACGCAGCTAAAAGGGCGTGGAGCCGCCGTGTGGGGAGAAGGGGCGAGAGGCTGAGAAGGCGATCTTGGGGAGAGAGCGCCCTCCTCGCCCCGTGACCTCTTCCTGCTGCTCACAAGGGCTTGGGGCTGATCGGAGCCTCTCGGGGGCCTGGGGAGGGCCCGAGCGAGCTGCGTACTCGAGTGTGGGTGTGGACACCCCTCGGCACAGCTGCCAGCTGGCCTAGCTGTGGACAGCACCTGGCTCAGCACCAGGCACACAGCAGGCACTTAATCAATGTGCACCCCTTTTCTCCATCACTGTTCTGCACACATGGAAGGCAGTGGTCCACGGCCATGAAGACCAGAGAGCAGGCAGCCCCTACCCCGGCCCCTCATCCCCGAGAGCACCCCTCCTCCCCTACCAGGGCCAGCCAAAAGACCGGGCTTTTCCAGAAGGAACTTCTGCCCGGGGAAGAAGGCCTCCTTCGCCAGCAGCAGGGAGTCTTCGGGCTTGGCCATGCCCTGCAGAGACAGGAAGCCGGGCTGAGGGCACGGCTGCTGGAAGGCTCTCGGGGGCGGCCTGCCCTGCGGGGACAGTGGCGGGGATGCTCACCTGGGGGAGGCTGCAGGTGCTGGAGGCCAGCTTCATGGCTTTCAAGATGCTGCCAGGGAAAGTGGAGAGTCGGAGGCCAGCCAGGTTCCCCGGCCTGGGGAGAGGCCTTGCAGGAGGCACCTCCCCCTGCTCATCATCCTGATTGCGAACAAGTGCCCCCGTCCCCCCAGACCCTACGTGACGCTGGACTCACTGCAACAGCAGGCCTGTGGGCTGGTTCCAGTGTCACCTGGAGCGGTAACCGACTCACAGCGGCCGGCGAGCTAATCTGATTAATGCATCACCCCCTCCCTGCCCCCCAGTTGCAGCACCGACAACAAGGCCAGCTCGCGTGTTCTCCTACGGGCAGCTCAAGATGGCAAAGGTTAAGTTTTTTTTTTTTTTTTAAATTTTATTTATTTATTTATTTATTTTATTTTATTTTTTTGCCCCCAAAGCCCCAGTAGATAGTTGTATGTCACAGCTGCACACCCTTCTAGTTGCTGTATGTGGGACTCGGCCCCAGGATGGACAGAGAAGTGGTGCCTCAATGCGCACCCGGGATCCGAACCCGGGCTGCCAGCATCGCAGCGCGCGCACTTAACCACCAAGCCACAGGCCCGGCCCAAAGGTTAAGTTTTGATGCCCAAGGTGTCAGTGGAGAGGAGACAAGGGTACCACAAAGTGGGGGCTGGTGAGAGGGAGGAAGATGATGAACTTTGCCAAGGGCCCCTCGCCGCCACCCCAGGGAAGGGGGTGGGGGCTCTGGAGCCCCACCCGCACGGTACCTCAGCTCTGTTTTAATTTCTTCATAGTCAGACTGTGCCTGGAGCTTCTCTTCCAGCTTCTAGAAGAGCAAACAAAGATGGTGAGGCTGGTCCCCGTGCTTGGAGGGCCGGCTGGGCTGTCCCTCCGCCTGGGGACGCCCTGCCCGCCTCCCGTCTGCCCGCCGCCTGCCCCAAGACCTGCCTCGATGGCCTCGGACTTGGCGCTGAGCTGGCGCTCCAGGTCTGCGATCTGGTTGGCAGAGGTCTCCTCCAGCTCCTGCAGAGAGCTCTGGAGGTGCTGCACGTCCTTCAACAGCCGCAGGATCTCCCGATCCTTGGAGGCCAGGGCGGCCTCCAGCCGAGGGCCAGAGCACAGGGCAAAGTTCACCTTATCCTGGGGACAAAGAGGGGCTGAGAGGCATGGGGCTGGGGGCTGCAGGGCTGGCCTCCCCACCCCTGAGTCCCAAACAAGACGGGAGATCCACCCGAGGTACAGCACCCCCTTCTGACAGGCCCGCGCCTCCCGTTTCCCACCTCCGAGCCTTTGCTCGGGCGGGTCCCACCAGCCTGGATGCCTTTGCCTCTATTCCTGAAACTAAATCAGAAGGGAGGGGGAGTGGGCAAGGAAGGTTTTCTGGAGGAAGATGTGTCTCAACAGTGATTAAGGTCAAGAACAAGTTAGCGGTCTGGAAAATTGCTCAGTTGCATCCACTGAAGGTGACCAGATTTGCTTACACTCGCTGGTATCTGTGCAGGAGAAATGCAGGCCCCTGTGCACCAAGATGCACAGACACCAAGATGAGTGTTCACAGCAGCCCCCTCTGTAATAGCCCCAAACTGGAAGCCCCCCAGATGCCTATCAGCAGGAGAACAGATGCACAGACTGTGGTATATTCACACAACGGAATACTATACAGCAACGAAAACGAATCATCTACAGCCACTTGCAACACAGCATGGATGACTCTCCCAGATACGACATGGAGTGAAAGAAGCCAGACGCCAGAGTGTGTGTGATTCAATTAAGATCAGACACAAAAATAGGCAAAACCAATCTGTGCTGTCAGGCGAGTGGCTCCTCTTGGGAAGTAACACCTGGATGGGGGCAGGCGGGGGGCTGCTCGGGCACAGGGGATGTTCTGCTTGTTGATCTGGACGCCGGCTGTGGGTGCGTTCATTCTGAGGAATTCGATGTGCTGTACACTTATGATATGCACGTTCTCCCTTATGTATATTATACTTCAATAACATATTTCATTAAAAACGAACAAGATAGGAAGCAGTGAGTTGGGTGAGGATAGACGGGGATAGGTGTTCCCAGCAGAGGGAACCTCACAGACAAAGGTTTGGGTTTCTAAATTGGACACACACAGGCCCTACCCAGTGGGACGTCCATTCGAGGCAGCAAGAGACCCTCAGGACTAGACTGAGACCCTGCAGCCAGAGGCCACTTTAGGGGTGCATCCTTCCTCCTCCTCATTTGCCGCCAGCCCCAACCCCCACAGCTTCTCCAGGTGTCAGGGAACGGCCCCTTTGTCCTGGACGAAGATGGAGAGGCTGCTGTTTGAGGACCTGAAGTCAGGCTGGTCCTGAGCTCAGTTACAAATGAATCTAAGAAGCTTACGAAAACAACAACCCACCACTACCACCCCGGCTATTCTTCCACGGAGATAAACGCCAATTAAAACAGGAAGCGGATGCCATTACACATTAAATTAATTAGCATCGAGCGCCACTGTTGTGCCCAGAAAAGCTCATCCCCCAAACCAGCAAAGTTCCCCGTGGCTGATTAGCACAGGCATTTGCCGGCTTCTGTGGGGGTTAATTAAGAACCATCAGCAAGTTCTCTGTGAGGCGTGCTCAAGAGCTCACTCGTCCTGTCTCTCCGCGTTGTGCGACATCCAGGCTCACTGACACATACGCACTGTCTCCTGGGACACAGACACAGGTGGACATGCCTACAGACAGCACACACTGACACAGGCACCTGCCCGTGCTGACACGCACACACACGGAAATACACAGCCATCAGGAGACACACTCATATGGACGTGTCAGCAGACACACACAGACATGTATGGGCTCCAGGAGGCCACACGCTCTCATGAGCAATAACACCCAGACACGCCCCAAACACACGAGTAATCATACTAGAAGCATCAGGTATTCACTGAGCACAGACCATAAGCCAGGCACCATTTTAGTACTTTACATGTAACCCTCTCAATAATCCTGTAAGGCAGGTCTTACTTGTACAGACAAGGAAACCGAGGCACAGTTAGATGAAGCATACGGTCATTTGCGCAAAGGTCACAAATAGACACACACAGTAACACATGTTCAGAGAGACACTTTCTAATATTTGAACAGAAAGACAGACACAGACACATGGGGGTCTGTGTATCAGGGTGTCAGGTGAAGTGAAAATTATGCTGGCCACTTCGAGTTCATGGGTGGAGACTGCAAATCACCCTGGCGCAGACCTGTTCTTATGGAAGGAATTGTGACTCCTTGGTGCAGAGATCTGGAAAGAAGGTGGACCGATTTACACAGGGAACCCAAGGCTTTCAGGGAGACAAAGGGCAGAGACGCTTCATATATGCAGGAGAGTAGGTTTGGGTGTCTCTGACTAAAACCCCAGGACCCCATAGGAGCACCAGCCAGGAGGAAAGAGAAAGATATATTGACTAACCAGGCTTAACACAGGAACCTCATGGGTGATGGTCAAAGGCTGGCTCTTTGTAGTGTGTGGCTGGCTGGGAAGCCCCATGGGAATCACCCTAGTGTGTTTTGGGAACCAATGGCTCAGATCCTGGTATGCGGCCCTACCGCAGTCCTGGAGGGGACTGAGAACCAGCGGGGCGTCCCCAGCGGTCCCATGCATCCACCAAGCTGTAGAGACCAGTGGCCAACAGCGACACCTGGTGGCAGCCACCAAAACTGCACTGCAGCCCTATTGATCAAACCCACCCTCTCAGCCCCCCTTGCCGGGCCTCTGGCAAGAGGAAAGATCCTCTTTGGCCTGAGTAAGTTCTTGGCATTTTTGGACAACTAGGGGTACGGGGGGCCTCCAAAGGAAGATACTGGACTTCCTGTTAATCAGGGTGTATGGAAGCTCGAGCTTGAAAAGTTAAAAGAGCTGTGGCTATATTTGGACCCTCAGCTGGTAACACAAGTCATGATAATTAGGTTTAAGTACACAGTGACCTTGGCAGTTAAGATGGGACGCCCACTGGATGCAGAGAGCCCCATACACATGCATGTGCACAATTCCGCAGAGATACGAGACTGACCCACACAATCTCACCCATGTATTCACACCCACCAACACGGCCTTTCCCACTCTTCCTCCGGCTCTCCCACCGTCCTTACCCCACCGGGTCCCTGTGGGGAGCAGCAGGCCAGGCGGATGGAGCTGTTGACAGAGGCGAGTTGTTCCCGAAGGCTTTCTACCTCCCGCTGGGCAGCCTCGGCTCGCTGGGGAGGAGAATGTGGTAAGCGTAGGTAAGAGGTGAGCGGGCCTGCTGGACCCCACCCTGGCCCTCTGCCATCTCCCCCACCGTCTCAGGCAGGGGCTGGGCAGGCAGGGCTCCGAGGGCCCGGGGTCCTACTTGCTGCGTCCTGGACCCTCAAGTTGGCTCTGGGTTCCCCTGGGGTGCGTGGGACCCCGAGAGGAGCCGGAACATTCCCACTGCACTAGGGAGGAAGGGAGATGCTGTCTTGACGGGACTGGCAAGTTTTCACACATTTCCAGGCCACGTCAGTTGGCCAAGGAAACTTCAGACCAGGCTAGTCAGAAGGCCAGAGCTTGTCCCCAGCTCCCACGCCACCGGGCCTAGAAGGAGTCTTGGAGGGCGTCGCAGAGGCGTCTTCCCAGCCCACAGGCTGCTGCAGGCCCCTGGGCAGGTCCCTTCCCCTGCCTGGGGCTCAGTTTTCCTTCTGTGAAATGGGGGGAATAAAATACATCTACTGCAGGGGCGTGCTGAAATACATCGAAATCGGAAGCCACAGTTGACCAAACTGGGTCTATGGTGGATCTTAACTCCTTAAGAATTTCTAAGAAAAAGGCCCGGAAGGAAGGACCCAAATGTTAACAACGTAGCCTGTGGTTTTGGAGGGAAATCTGTACTTTCTCACTTCCTGGTTGTGTGACCTTGGGCAAGAGACTTCCTCTCCCCAGCCGCAGTGTCCCTATCTGTAAAACGGGGACTATAAAAGCAACTGTCTCATGGGGTTGTTCTGCAAAGTAAGTGACCTGGTGGAATATAGCTCATGAGGTCTCTTAGCTTGATGCCCATCACACACCAGTGTGTCAGTAACTGGTTACTTTATTGACCTCATCAGGGTGTACGGGGGCTTGGGCCACTACTCAGGAAATTACAAGAGCTGGGCTGTATTTCGCCCTCAGCTGGAGACACTGGTCATTGTGATTATGTTTAACTCACACGCTGACCCTGGCAATCAGGATGCTGTGCCCACTACACGCACACGAGACCCACATACATCCTGTTCACGTCTCATTAATTTACTTTTAGTCAATTTGCTTTTTATTTATTGGGATCCTGCCTTGTTCCAGACATGGTTCAAGTCAGTTTTGTTTGGGGAAAGCTTGTGGGTGTGTGGGGTGGTAGAGAAAATATTTTTATGCTTCTGCCCAGTTAGGGGTTTCTGAGCAAATGTGACTGAAACTTGGGATCTGGGCTGAAAGACAAGCCTTGGAAGTCACCTGACGACTGAGGAGCCTGTGAGAGATCCAGAGTTGCCTCCCTGGAGGGGTGTTTCCATTTCAGGGGGGTGAGACCCAGGCCACGGACACATCGCTGGGATGTGAAGCTGGGTTAAAGCTACTAGTCGGATCTTCCCCTGGGGAGACGGAGGTACCCTCCAAACACTAAACACCAGGGTCCTCGTCCTGTTCCTCCTGACGCTCGGGAGACAGGGGTCTCTCCCTCTCTCAGGAGGCCCATCTCCGACGTCACCACACTCACGTTTGGGGGTGCCTCGCCTACGGGACAAACTCTGGTGCATGTGGGATGACGCCTGGTTCTCAGCTTGTCCCCCAGGGTCAGACCTGGGGCAAACGGCTGTGGTCATTACTAAGTAAGTACTAATACTGATCTGCTCTGCTCCAGCATCCTCTAGCTCACACTCAGGATAGTTAATAAACACAGATATTAAAAACCTAACATGATGACATTTACGTTCTTCTCCACCCTTTCTATAATGAGCAGGTTTTAGTCTTATATTCCGAAAAATAAACATTTTTTAAAAATGCTCCCTCTTGCAACCACTCTGCGATCTCTTTTCTCCACCTCTAGGAATTCACCCTGTATAGTGGCGCTGCACGTCTGAGATGATCTCTGTACAAGGTTGTTCACTGCGGTGTTGAGGATGATGGGAAAAGACTGCAAGTACCCTAAGTGTTCCTCAACAGGGGACTGTCAGACCACGGGTCGGCCGGCGGCAGCCTGCTGCCTGTGTCTGCCTGTTTTCCCGGAACACAGCCTCGCCCACTCGTTTCCATATCGTCTGTGCTTTCCCATATGGCAAAGCTGAACGGCTGTGACGGAGACCTGCACAGCTGCAGTATGTACGCTCTGACCCTTTACGGAAAGTTCCCCCGGGTTAGAGGACGGTGCGCCCACGTGGCGCAGCACCACGCAGCCCTAGGACAGAAGGAACCGCTTTAGATGGAGACGGAAGGAGCTCTAAGACACGTACATGGAAAAAGTAAGTTCAGGAGGGTGTGTATATTATCCTATCGCTTTTGTTTTAAAAAGGGTTAAAAATGGATATATTCATGGGCTTGTGATTGGATGGAGCATCTCTGGAAGGAGACCCCAGAAACTGGGAAGAGAGGCTGCCAGAGGAGGGGACACGGAGGTCCCGGGCATGCCCTGATGTACCTTTTGCAGTTTTGAACTGTGTAAATAGATTACCTATTCCAAAAATTAACCTAAAAATGCTATTCTTTCCCAGGTTTCCTCTGCAGGAGGGAGCGCCCTGCCCGGGTGCCCGCACGGCCACGCCTCTGGGCCTTTGCCTCTGCGTGCCTTCTGCCTGGAACACCCTTCCTCAAAAGAACAGCGGCTGGGCTTTAGGACCCGGCCGCAGTGTCGTCCTCCGGCCTCGCTCAACCACCCCCAGGGGAAGGACCACCGGCCCTGTCGCATCGCTGGCCCCTCCTGGCCATGCCGCCCACTGCCAGCCTTGCAGGGAGCTGAGGGAGAGAACTGGGGGGCCCACGAGACTCCAGACCAGACCGCACAACCACGCCTCACCTTTCAAAGTCCTGCCCAGCTCTGCCCAGCAGATGGCAACACAAGCGAAGCCAGAGGATGGCAGGACGAGGGAACCCCACGCGTGTATGTGAAGACGGAGACTCGGAGAGGCTTGAGGGGCACTAGAAGATGGGCGCCCCAGGGAGGGGTTGGGGTCCACTCACTGCTGGGCTGGCATGGCTGGGGTCAGTGAGGAGGCTGGGGGACACCCCGCATGGGGAGGGAGGGAGGGGAGGAGAGAAGCAGCCCTGGGTTTGTCCCTTGTCACCACCCCCAGCTCTGTGGAACATGGCTCCTCACTCAGTCGGGCTGGGAGAGACCCGTGTCCCAGCTTGGCCTGGGGACGGACACTGGCGGGCTGGGATCGCTGGTCACTGCTCTGCTCCCTCCTCCTGCTCCCCGGAGACACCCGGAGAGGCCTCCCAGCTGGCTCTGCAGGCTGCCTCCTGGCCCTTGCCCAGGCTGCTCCATGGCCTGGAGTGCCATCCCTCTACGTTCTCCATTTATTCATCAGGGCTCAGCTCCAGGGCCCTCCTCCGGGACAACTTCTCTGACCCCTGAGTCTCGGTCAGGTGCCCCTTCCCTGACTGCTGCTGCCCGGGTCACCCTCGTTCCCAGCATTCTGTCTGCACCGCGCCCTCCCCGCCGAGAGCTTGGTGAGGGTATGGCCTGCGCCCCGGCACTCAGCAGGGCGCGCGGTTCAATACACGTTGACTGAGCTCAGCTCCTCCTCCAGCCCAGCCCGAGACCCCACCCCGGGCAGAAGGAACCCGGCACACGTCTCCTCACCTGGTTAGCTTTCTCCAGGTTGGTCATGATCAGCCCGACTTCATCCGCCCTGAGACGGAAAGACGAGGCCCTGAGGGAGGGCTTCTGCTGGCCGCCAGGGCCCCGGCCCGTCCTCACACCCCCAGCTCCTGCCTGAACTCAGGGGTCTCGCGCTGGAGGGTTGGACTGCGGAGCTGGGGAGTGGGGACAGCCCCAGGAGGCTGGGGCGAGGCGGAGGCCCCTGCCCAGCAAATCCTGCTCAGCCCGTGACCCAGGATGTCATTTACAGTCTGTGCCGCTCTGACGGCACAGCAAATGACTGGTGAACAGCTGTGTGCCTGTGCCCGCGGGGAGCAGAGGGTGCTCAATGCAATGGGAGGCTCAGGCAGAGAGGCAGAGGGAGAAGGGTCAGAAAGAGAAGGCAGGTCTGGGAGGGTCAGAAGGAGGGGGCAGGTCTGGGAGGGTCAGAGGAGGAGGCAGGTCTAGAGGGTCAGAGGGAGGGGGCAGGTCTGGGAGGGTCAGAGGAGGAGGCAGGTCTGGGAGGGTTAGAGGGAGGAGGCAGGTCTGGAGGGTTAGAGGGAGGAGGCAGGTCTGGAGGGTTAGAGGGAGGAGGCAGGTCTGGAGGGTTAGAGGGAGGAGGCATACCCCAGCAGCGTGTTCACTTACTTGGACGCCGCCTCCTCATCGTACTTCCGCCGCAGCTCCAGCAGCTCCGTCTGCGTGGCCTTTAACGCTGGGAAAAGTAAAGAGCCAGGGTGAGGCTCTGCGCCCCAGGGGGTGGGAGCCACTCATCTGTGGGGCCTGGGGTGGTGAGGGAAGCCATTCTCTCAGTTAGGACTGGCGACAGGAGCGAGTGTCTGGCCCCAGAGGGGCTTCATGCTGGCGGGAGGGCTGTGGAGCGGCCAGGTGGAGGGCAGACCAGATGATCCTCAGCGTCTGTGAGGCTCAGGGGACCCGGGTAAGGGAGGGCCGTCTGTTGCGTGGCCTGCCCCGAGTCACTCCAGGCCCTGGGGGGCCATCCTCCCATGAGCTCACCCACCCTGAGTTCCAGACCCGGCAGGTGAGGGGGATGGGGAGGAGCAACAAAGTCAACAGATACGTGTATACTATAATAAATAAGGAATTTCTCATAAAACCCCAGAGTTCTGATTTCTCTAGGAAAACTAAAGGGACCGGCCACACTGGGCCGTACGGCAGTGCCTGGCTGGTGCTCAGCAGGAGCCACCTCTTCAGACAAGGCCTTGGTTCTCCTGTTTGCCCCAGTCCCCACCCTGTCCTACTGCCTTCCCTAACCCAGCCGGCCTGGTGGCATGCCCGGCCCCTGTAGACGCTGCGTTTGCCCCTCCTGATTTAATTCTCTCTCAAGCCCTCTGTCCACGGCAGTGTGGCCTCCGGGGACTGGGGCTCAGACCCCTGCTGGGTAATGTAGGTCTTTCCCTTCCCAACTCCCTTCTTGCCTTCCTGATTCTAGAACACCTGAGCCCGTGTTCACAGTGTCACCGTCCGCTCCCGCTCCTCCCTCTGGGCCTCCTGGTCTGATGGCCGGGTCGCAGCGTGAGGGCAGGGGACACGTGCCAGACACATACCAGAATGTAGGACCTTGATCTTCTCCTCGGCCTCCCCCAGTCTGGCTGCCAAAGTGATCTGTACTTCTTGAAGGCCCCTGCGGAGAGACGGGGCTGCAGATGTGTGGACGGCCCGCCCCGGCCTCCTAGCCCCTCGGCCACCCTGCAGTCTGCACCCGTCTCTATAACAAGCCCTTACACACGACAGGCAGCCGCCTGGCTGCCCTGCTCTTCTGCTGGCCGTGTGCCCTCCATTGTGGCTGCCAGTTACGTTTCTGGCAGCATTCCAGGGGGCCTGCAGCAGCCGTGACCTGGCCTCTCTGGGCCTCAGTTTCCTCATCTGTAAAATGGGGTTTCTGATGGGTCTGCTCGGTTGGTGTAGTGAGGCACATTCAGCGTGGGGACCTGGCTGCACTGGGGGACAGCTGATGCAAAGCCCCGGGCCTTACATGGTCTGAAGTGACTCTAGGAAGGGGCCCCGCCTACCTCGATCTGACATCCTGCCCCTCTCCCTCCACTCCAGCTAACAGGCCTGTTCCTGCCTTAGGGCCTTTGCACTGGCTGTTCCCTGTCACACCCTGCCCCTATACACCTGCAGAGCTCACGCCCTCACCTCCTCAGGGCTGTGCTCAGCTTCTCTGTGAGGCCTCCCCCAACACCCTGTTTAAAACTTCAGCCGCCCATTTTACACCCCCACCTCCTGCTGTTTTTCTTCACAACCCTGATCATCCAGCACACCATTTATTTATCTTGTTGATTTGTGTCTTCCTCACTAGAGGTTTGGTCCACTGTATTCACTGCTGTGTCCCCAGAACAGTGCCTGGCACACGGCAGCTGGCTCCACAAATATGTGGAATGAATGAAGGAAGGAATAAGTGAATGAAAGAAAGGATAAATGAAATGACCACCAGAGAACTGTCCTAGAAACGCCCCAGGAACCCATACGTTTTTACCACGGCGCCAGCTGTAAGGGCGACCACCTACTGCTACGCACCCCTCCGCGTGAGCACTGAGCTAAGGCGTCACCTCATTCCATCCCCACGGCACACTAGGAAGTGATACTGCCTGTGATGGTCAGTGTGATGTGTCCACTTGCTGGGCTACAGTACCCAGTTACTCAGTCACACACTGACCCAGGTGTTGCGATGAAGGGATTCTGTAGATGGGGTTAACATCTACAATCAGCTGACGTTAAGTAAAGGAGAAGAGTCTCAATAATGTGGGTGGGCCGCATCTAATCAGTTGAAGGTCTTCAGAACAAAACCGAGGAGGAAGAAATTCTGCCTCAAGACTGCAGCACTGACTCCTGCCTGACAGTTTCCAGCCTCCTGGCTGGCTCGACCAGTTCAGACTTGCCAGGCCAATCGTTGAACTACATCTCTTAATTCATTAAAAAGAAATCCTGCTGGTTCTGTTTCCCTGGACAACCCTGACATTAGCCCCATTTTCCAGATGGGGAAACTGAGGCTCAGAGAGGTGATGTGACCTGCCCAGGGCTGGCAGCTGAGCCGCTAAGGGGGGGCTCGAACCCAGGCTGCATCTCCATCTCCAACCTGTGTCTGGATTCCCCGAGGCTTGCAGGCAGGGGTGACTCTGGGTCCCACCTCCCGGCCAGGGGGCAGCAGGGGCCTGCCTGTCCCCCACTCACTTTTGTTTCTCTGCCTCATTTCTCTGCAGCAAAGTTTCTGTCAGGAGGGCCTTGCTGGGAACGCCCGGGAGGCGGCTCCCCTCGGTCAGCGTGGGCCTGGCCGGAGACGTCCCCTCTCTCTGCTCTGGAGGGAGAAAAAGAGGGGCCACCCGTCGCTGAGAGCAGGGGACAGCCAGAGCCGCTCTCGGCACACCCGATCCATCGACCGATCGTGCTGGGACAAGAATCAATTTCCCACACTCGGGCGTCGGAGGGAGCACGGCTGTCGGGATCACTGTCATCATGGACGGCTGGGCTGCAGCTGTGGCGAGCGCGCGGGCATGAAAGTCGAGTCCCCACGGCGCCAGCCTCGGACAGCTCACCAGAGGCTTCCCTTCCTCTCTCAGACCTGTTCCCGCCTCCTGGGCCTTCTTATTTTTTTAAACGTTGTGGTAAAATAAACATAACACAAAATTCACCAATTTAGCCATTTTAAAGTGTACAATTCAGTGACATTTAGTATGTTCACGATATTGTGCAACTGTTACCACTCACTTCAGAACATTGTCACCACCCTAAAAGGAAACTCGTCCCTATTAAGCAGTTGTCACTCCCATTGCCCCTCCCCCAGCCCCTGGCAACCACCCATCTGCTTTCTGTCTACGGATTTGCGTATTGCAGACATTTCAGATCACTGGAATCATAATGTAGGTCCTTTTGCAACTGGCTACTTTCACTTGGCATAATGTTTTCAAGGCTCATCCAGGTTGTAGCGTGTATCAGACCTCCATTCCTTTTCATGGCTGAATAATATTCCGTCTTATGAGTACGCCCCATCTTGCTTTTCCACTCATCCATTCGTGGACATTTAGGTTGTTTCCACCATTTGGCTGTTGTGAAGAAAGCTGCTATCAACATTCATGTCACGTTTTTGTTTGAGCACCTGTTTTCCATTCTCTGGGGTACAGACCTGGGAGGGGAACTGCTGGGCCCTGCGGTAACTCGGGGTTTGACTTACCGAGGACCCCCCACACTGTTCCCTCCCCACAGTCGGGGCGCACACTCAGACGCTCGGTCATCGCCCGCCTCACCTGCAGGTGCCCAGGGCAGAGAAACATCATGTCCCCTTTCAGGCTCTGTGGCGGCTCATCCTGGGGGCAGTGTGTGCCTTCAGCACTGAATTCATCACAGGGAGACAGAGTGCTCAGGGGCCGGCCGTCTAGGGTGGGTGGCTCAAGAACTCCAAAATCTGGGCCCGAGCGACTCAGTTAAGTCCTGTCCTAGTCATTAAGCTCCTATCATGAGTCTGGTGCAATGGTGAGTGCAGATGTGGGGGGACTGCAGAGTGAGCCCCTCGAGGGGCTGCCACACTGGTCAGGGCCTGGCTCGTTCTTACACACACACACACACAGAAACACGGGGAATGTTCCAGGTGCTCAGGCTATAGCAGTGAACAAAAAGACGAGGTTTGACCATCATGACGCAGAGTGACAAGTGTCCTCAAGGAGAAATGCAGCCCAGGGAGGAGGTCAAGGGCCCTTGGTCTGAGTGCCCGTGTGGCCACCTGCTGCCTCTGACTCAGTTTCCCCACCTGTACAGTGGGGCCAGTGACCCCTCAGAAGCTTGGTGCCGGGAGACAGTGGGATGCTGTGTGAAAGGCTCACGGCACAGAGCAAACGCTTTCGGGAGGTGGTTCCCAAAGCTGCTATTATTCCTACAGAGGGAAGGTCACAGCCCGGGGGACCTCAGATGAAGGACGTGCTGGGGAACCTTGGAGGCTTCATAGAGGCGCCTATACGTGAGCTGAGGCTGAAGAACTGCCAGGTCCTGGCTTGTCAGGGATGGCTGGAAGGGCATTCCGGGTGCAGGAACAGAGTTGGCAAGGTGCTGTATTTTAGTCACTGTAAGTCTTCCCCAGAAGACTCTGCCCAGGGCCAGGCATACAGTAGGTGCTCACTAGGCACATGGAGGGAAGGGAGGGAGCTGTGACATGGAGAGTGTCAGAGAGTGGACATTTCCTGAGAAGCAACTTCCTGTCAAGCTCTCACCTGACAGGCCTCAGCCCATTTTATCTTCCCACAGGCCAAACCCGGCCCACCACCTGTTTTGTACATAAAGTTTTATTGGAAGACAGCTATGCACACTCATTTACATATTCTCCATGGCTGCTGTCACACAGAACTGAGTAGTTTCCACGGAAACTGCATGGTCTGAAACATTTACTCCCTGGCCCTTTACAGAAAAAAGGTAACCTTGCTGATCTCGGAGGTAAATCCTGCTCATTCATTCCTTAGACAAGTGTCCCTACATCTGACTCTTCCCCTCCTCCCTGCTGAATTTTTTAACCACCCTCCTGGATTTTGTTCCTTTCCCTCTCCTCCTGGACACGCAGCTGGACTACATTTCCCAGCCTCCTTTGCAGCAGGGTGTGACCACGTGGCCGAGTTTTGGCCAATGGGATGTGACCGGAAGCGAGTGTGCTCCTCCCGGGCCTGGATCTCGGCGTGACCCTCCGCATTCTTTCTCTGCCTGTTGGCCGGTTGTCAGCGTTCAGTGTGCTTCTGGATGGCGCGTGTTGAAGGCGGCAGGACCACCGCAGCCTGGTCCCCGAGTGACTGCGTGGAGCACCCCCTGCAGCTTCCCCACCCTTCAGATATACGCAGCCTCTGAGACTTGGTGTTGGTCTCTCAGCAGCAGAGTACCTTAACCCGTCCGCATCTAAAATGATCAAGTCGAGGTCCCTGTCCCCCCACCGCCGCCCAAGGCGGGCTGAATTTGGTACTGCAGATCCACAGCCCAACTGTTTATTATGGACATCCTGTGAAGGCCTTATCAGTACCTTTGGGGCCGAGGAGCTCGGGGTGCCTCTTCCACGAGGCGTGGAGGTCTCGCCGCGGCTGCCCGCTGGGGTCGAAGCTGGGGGGCTGCAGTCTGTCGTCTAGGCTACGCGCCGCCTCAAACACAGGCACGGGGTCTGCACAGAGAGAGAGGACAGGGGTGGTGGGGCCCTGGGGGCTGGGGACACCCAGGCTGAGGCCGTGGAGCGTGGTGGGTGCCTCCACGGGAAGCTGGGGTGGGGGACCATCCACAGGAGCCGCCTGGAGTCTCTCTGATAGCTTAGGGGCGCAACAGGGACTTTCCGCTGTATGAGGGTGCAGCCTTCTTCAGGCACCTGCTCAGGGGAGCGTTGTGGTCCCCATGGGTGTGGGTGTCCTGCCCAGCTGGGAATAATAAAAACAGTTGTCAAAATAACTGCATTTTCTGGATTCTACCATGCCATCTGTGGCAGCCCTGAGATTGTGTCTTGCACGCTCCAACCACAGGGAGCGCCACTGAGCAAGGATCCCCCCATCCCCCCAGCTGTTGGATCCTGAAATCCATCCGTCTGACTTCCCGGGCTTTCCCAGCCAGGGCCAGCAGGAAGCGGATAGCAGCAGACCTGCTCCGGGAGCGGGGACTGCTCTGAGGGCCGAGGGCTCCCCCGAGGGCTCGCCCAGCGCTTCCTGAGGCTGTACGCGGTCTGGATGCTTCCCCAGCTCCCCGCCTCTCCCAGCTCTCTCTCCGTTCTCCCTCACCTGCGGTTCCCCAACAGCATCCTTGCACATGTGATCGTTGGGGTGCCCCTCTGTGGACCTGGGCCCAATACACCACCATTTGTGACACACGCGGTCGATTATTTAAAGCCCATTAAATAATGGCTTTTCTGGAAATACACACCTGGATGCCTCCCAATCTCCCAAGAGCTAGAAGGTGAGGAACACGCAGGTCCTTCCGCCTGGAACTTGCTCCTCCCCCACCCTGGCATCTAGCGAGCACGTGCTCTTCCTTCAGATCTGGAATCCCCCACCTCTCCTTCCAGGTGGCACCCCCCCCCCCCCCCGCCCTCGGGCAGGTACTAAGAGCACCTGGGTGATGCCAGAGGTCGGCGTGGCATCTCCCAGGTTACAAAGCCCGTCCGTGGAATGGGTTCCCACGATGCTCCTGGCATCCCTGGAGGCGGCTTGGATCTAACTCGTTTTCACAGATGAGGAAACTGAGGCTCAGAGAAGTCAGGTGACTGGTGCAGGGGGGAGGTGACACTCGAGTCTAGGTCTCTTTCTCTGATGCCACAAAGGCTTCCTGTCCAAGTGGTGTGGACATGTCAGCCCCAGCAGCTGCCCGCGAGTGTTTACGGGGGCCAGGAAAGCCAGGGCGTCCTCTCTGCAGACCGAGGGGCCTGGGTCGGTCCACAGTCCTTTCAGCTGCACCGGAGCCCTCTCTCTCCCTGGTCCCTCCCCTGGGGTCTCCCGCCAGCATCTCTTGGCCACTGCTCTCTGCTGGGAGGCAGAGGGATTAAGAGCACGGACCCTGGAGTCAGACTCCCCAGGTCCTGGTCTAATCCGTACTTGCTTCTTGGGATTGCTGTGTGACCTCGGCTGACAACTCTACCTCTCAAGGCCTCAACATACAAGTACCAACTTCATGAGGCTGTGATGAGAATTCATGGAAAGGGCTTAACATGTGCCTGGCACTTGATCAGCTCAGAACAAATGGAAGCCCTTGCTATTCCTGCCTTTCTGAGCACCAGTCACACTGACCTTCTCTCAGTCCCTCAAATGCATGTTCCCACCCCAGAGCCTTT